AAGTCGACAGACAGCTTGAACACACACACACACACACACACACACACACACACACACACACACACACACACAAAATACAAGAACATATGGAGGGGCATCCATTCAAATCTCAGCAATATCCACTCGTCATAACCCAGGAGGGGTTTTAATAAGCATAAAACTGCACCCCATCTTTAAACCCTCAAGGTGCCCCCCAAATACCTTAAACCAAGAAAAGCCTGTTGTCGCGATATAAGAGGCACAAACCCGCCAGTTTAATCATTATCTGGGCAACAGCTTTTTGGCTGAAGTTGCATAGTTGCCAGCAACCTGCAGTGAGAAGAACACGCTTGATCTGATTTTGGTATCTTCAAATGGCTCTGCTTTAAGCCAGATGTCCACAAACACACAACCACCAAGGACCCAGTTGCAAGCTGGATTTTCTTCCTGGCCTGCTAGAGAGGCAAATTATCATTTCAGGAGTCTGAACTTCTTCAGATAGCGGTGTACAGTCTCCTTTGGGTAAGGCCGGAGGGCAAGACACGTCGCGATGTTTTCTGGCTGCTCGACCCATACTTTGTGATCAATCCCATTTTGCTGCAGTGTTTCTGTTAATGCGCTCAAGGCACACTCATCCGGGGCCTAAGAAGAAGAAGAAAGATAAGAATCAGAGAGTCTCACACAACACAAATTGAGCAGGAATGTCTTCCACAATGTTACAGCAGAAGGCATGGAAGACTATTCTGGTTAAGCCAGAATATCCAGGAATCTGGTTAACTTCACCACCAATTTTTTCCCCCCATGAACTGAAATCTATTCTAGGGAGAAACTGACAATGTGTTGAACTATATCACAAAAAATGTACCAAAGGAATATAACCACAACTCTTAACATATATGTTGCAGTACAATGATTTCCACAAGCAGTAGATGACAAATTGTTCCACAAATAGAAGACAGGTAGCAGGCAAAAGTGGAATGTGCTCTCTCTGATCTTCATAATCTCTGATTCAGAAATACGGTCGCCCCTCTAAATCCACAGATTTGGAAATCCATGGAGGGGCGACCACCATTAGCAGCGTGCGCCATTCAAGCCAATGGGGCTTGAATATACACAACCCTTGTAACTTTGGGGGGGGGGGTCCAGAATGGATCCTCCGCAAGTTATGAGGGACGACTGTGTATTTCCACAAGTCATAGACCAGGGGTAGGCAACCTTTCCCCTTTAAGGGCCGAGGGACTTCAGCTCCCAGAATCCCAGGAGCTGCTGGCCAACATGGGACTATTGACCAACATGGCTGAGGCTTCTGGGAGCTGAAGTCCCTCGGCCCTTAAAGGGGAAAGGTGGCCTACCCCTGTCATAGACAATAGTCCACACATTAATGGTTGCAGCAATACAGCAAAGACACTGTGGAAACTGTAGATCAGGGGTAGGCAACCTTTTTTCCCCTTTAAGGGCCGAGGGACTTCAGCTCCCAGAAGCCTCAGCCATGTTGGCCAATAGTCCCATGTTGGCCAGCAGCTCCTGGGATTCTGGGAGCTGAAGTCCCTCGGCCCTTAAAGGGGAAAGGTTGCCTACCCCTGCTGTAGATAGTGAATGGACAGCAATGGTAGCGGAAAGAAGACTACCTCCGAAGCCATTTCGATATTTCTTCATCGGTAGCAGTAAAACTGTATGTCTCAGCTAAACCTTGACTTCAAAATTCAATATCCAAATACTTTCCAAGAAACTCTCTCTTGGAAATAAGCTATTCCCCAGTAGATTTATTAAGTTTTAAAAAGAAACACACTTAATACTTTTTAAAAAATAGCTAAAATATATCAATCTGGTAATAACAGGCTTTGGAAGTGCGGGAATGAACCAGGCATGCTATACCATTGCATATGGACTTGCAAAGTAGTTAGAAAAATTTGGATTAAAATCCAGGAAATCATAAATCAGATTTTACAGAAAGAAATAAAAAAAATCGCCGCGAAATATATTTATTAAATATGTGGGACAACAAAATAGATAAAAAGGTGGGCAAAATCCTTTTTTTATCTAATTACCACGGCACGAATTACACTAGTATAGAATCATAGAATCATAGAATCATAGAGTTGGAAGAGACCCCAAGGGCCATCCAGTCCAACCCTCTTCTGCCATGCAGGAACTCCCAATCAAAGCATCCCTGACAGATGGCCATCCAGCCTCTGCTTAAAGACAGCCTCCAAGGAAGGAGACTCCAAAAATGGAAATCAAAAAACATACCAAGTATAAAAGAATGGCTACTTAAGCTTTATGAGGCAATTGAAATGGATCCACTGACAAATTATTTGAGAAACAAAGCATATAGAGGATGGTCTTAGTGATTGGAAACCAGGATTAACGTATCTCAGAAACCAGCAGGGAAATTCAGCCACAATTACATATCGGTAACATACGGACTCCAATAAATGAGATATAAAACAAATACAAAGGATGTTATTTCAGCAATTAACATATGATAAGAACGTATTTGCAATAAACAATTTTTTTTTGGAAAATATCAAAGGTGCTGAAGGATGATAGTGATGAAAAGTGTAAAAAATGATATTAACAACAATAACTGATACTATATTGAAGTTCAATAATAATAAGGTATAAAGGAACAAATAAAATAAGTATTTGACAAAAACAAAAGAATAATATAAAAAACATATACATAAACAAAAAACATATACATAAACATATACAATAAAATGGAACAAGACAGCAGGAAAGTACATACTCAGTATTAATTAATATATATATTCACTACTAACGTATGGAAATACATTTAGTACTAAGTAAAGACAAAATAACCAAATAAAGGTAAAACACATATGGACCATATAATAGGAAGGCAAACAAATTAATTAAAGCTTCAATCTCTGGTCATTAACATTTTGCAATACCCAGTTATATAACTGGTTTATAACTGGGTATAACTGGTTTATGAAAGATTCACTGAATTAAAGACATAAGGAAGACATATATATTATCAAATAATCCAGGGAAGTCAAGGAGGAATGAATGGAAGAGTTCAGAAGGAGTAGACACCGCTTTAACTGTCCTGGCTCAATCCTGTGGAATTCTGGGAAGTGTAGTTTGTTGTGGCACCAGGGCTCTCTCTGACAAAGAAGGCTGAATAGCTCACAAAACTACAAATCCCAGGATTCCATAGGATGGAGCCACAACAGTCAAAGTGGGGTCAAGCTGCATGATTTCTATGGTGAAGATTAGACCAATGCTATGGAAATTTGTAGTTTGGGATTTGTAGTTTGATGTGGCACCAGAGAGCTCTCTGACAGAGAAGGCTAAATACACCCCTCCACATAATACTACAAATCCCAGAATTCCATAGCATGGAGCCGTGGCAGCTAAATTAGTGCCAAATTAAAATAATTAAATATAAATGAAATGAAATAATTAAAAATACACATTTGGTTTGGCACCGCTTTAACTCTTTCTGGCTCAAGGCTATGGAATTCTGGGAATTGGAGTTTGTTGTGGGGCCCAGAGCGGAGCTCCGCTCCGCTCTGGGCCCCACAACAAACTCCAATTCCCAGAATTCCATAGCCTTGAGCCAGGAGGGCAGTTAAAGCGGTGCCAAACCGGGTTATTTCTCCAGTGTGGATGCACCCCAGGGTTGGATTCCCAGCCCAGCCCTCAAAGCTACTGGGGGGCCTTGTGGGTGGCGCCCTGGCAGCTGAAGCGGTATCAAACTGGGTTAACTCCGAGTGCGGACGCACCTCGAGCACCACCGTCCTCATGCGGCCTGCTTCCTGGGCGAGGTAGTGGGCCGTCTCCGGGTGCTGGCGGTGGGCGTGGACGGCGGCGAGGGCGGCATGGACGGCCTGGGCCACCAGGGCCCCCAGGGGCCATGAGAGGGGCTCCCGCCTCAGGTCCCCCCTCAGCACCACGTACTGCACCAGGGCCCCGGCCGCCATCTTGCCGTAAGGAGGCATGCAGCAGGGGGACGCCATCTTGTCCTCACAGGCGGCCGCCATCTTGCCGTACGGAAAGGGCCTCTCCCTGAGGCAAAAACAAAAACCGTCTTCCTCTGAAACTGCGGGGCGCGACGAACTCTTAGTCTTGGCCTGGAATGACGCAGATGAAGCACGACAAAAAGTCTATGAGGAAATGTTTTGTTTCCCTCTGAGGTCCCCTCTCAGCGCCACGTACTGCACCAGGGCCCAGGCCGCCATCTTGCCATACGGACGCAGTCTGAGAATGGGACGAAGGGGGCCGCCATCTTGCCGTACGGATCATATGCCATTCCGAGGATGGGACTAAGGGGGGCGCCATGTTTCCTCACAGGCGGCGGCCATCTTGCCTCACGGACGCATACGCCATTCTGAGAATGGGACAATGGGGGCCGCCATCTTGCCGTACGGAAAGGGCCTCTCTGAGGTTTATGGAGGCATACTCCATTCTGAGAATGGGGAGAAGGGAGCCGCCATGTTGTCCTCACAGGCGGCCGCCATCTTGCATAAAAGACGGAAAGGGCCTCTCTGAGGTAAAAACAAAATCCGTCTCCATCTGAAACTGCGAGGCGCGACGGACTCGGAGTCTTGGCCTCGAATGACGCAGATGAGGCACCATAAAAAGTCTATGTTTCTGTTCTATTTTATTTTTCCCTCTGAGAAAGCCTGCCAAGCGCTGGGAATGCCGGGAAAAAACCATTGACGGGGTAAAAGGGGGGGGAAATCGCCCGGTCGTCGACGGCCGATGACGTATTTCCGGCGGCCGGGAGCGCGGGTTTTTTGATCGGTCGTTGGTTGCCATGGCGACGTCTCTTGAGGCCTAAAGGATCCCTGAGGCAAGTTTTCAGGTTTTCTAATTATGTTGTTATTGTTTATTGTTTTTGTGTGCCTTCAAGTGCTTTCCGACTCATGGCGCCCTATAGGCGACCCTATGCTGGGGTTTTCTTGGCAAGGTTTGTTCAGAGGAGGTTTTGCCACTGCCTTCCCTGAAGCTGAGAGAGTGTGACTCGCCCAGGGTCATCTAGTGGGCTTCCATGGCAGAGCAAGGAATCGAACCCTGGTCTCCAGAATCGTAGTCCAACGCTCAAACCACGACGCCAGGCTGGATTTAAGTGATTAATGATTTTTAAATAGTTACTTTCTAACAAACTAATATGTTATTATTTTTGTCGTTGTGTGCCTTCATGACGACCCTAAGGTGAACCTATCATGGGGTTTTCTTGAAAAATTTCTTCAGAGGGAGGATTTGCCCTTGCCATCCTCTGAGGCTGAGAGAGTGTGACTCGCCCAAGGTCACCCAATGGGTTTACATAGCCAAGCCAGGATTCGAACCCTGGTCTCCAGAGTCACAATCCAACACTCTTTTTTAAAAAATATTTCTATTGAATTATTTTAACACACCTATACAGACTTTGTCACACGTGCCCCCCTCCCCCATGGCTTATTAGAGATTAGAATTGATACACTGTTTATAATTAAAGACTTACATTCAATATGTGGGATATGGAGCTAATGACATTATGGACTTCATTATTGTACTCTGTATTCCTTTAGACTTTGGGGGGTTGCAGACTGCCAGAAATAGTGCAAATTGAGTCCACTTTTAGGGTTAGGGTTAGGGTTAGGGAATCATGGGAACTGTAGTTTATTGTGGCACCAGAGCTCTCTGACAGAGAAGGCTTAATGTCTCAGAAAAACAACAATTCCCATGATTCCCTAGCACTAACCCTAACCCTAAAAGTGGACTCAATTTGCACTATTTCTCAAGCAGAATTCCCCAACCCAAATCCCAAGTTTCTTCCCTCCTTTCTCCAGGATATTTTAATCTTCTGTCTCTAATAATATCAAACAGCAAAGCATTTGCCTGCCAAATACTTATCTACCTTGTTCAAGCTCCAGTTTTTACTTTCTTTCCCCCCTGTTGCCTTTAATATATACTGTGCTGCTTTTTCTTCAGTCTTATTCATCCCCTTATTCTTCAAATTCAATGTTAGACAGTTCTCTTTGCTCAAGTGAGCATCCTTGCCTGGAGTCCAACACTCTGCCATTACGCCACGCTGGCTCCCGATAGATTCATCCAAGGCCTCATTCCCACTGTGATTTAAAGCGAATTGCTGATCGGGTTGTATGACCGCCATTCCCGCTTGAAACCGGCTCCAATCCTATTGAGCTCAGTTGCAATTGCGATGAAGCGAGGCAAACGCACAAACCCCGCAATTTCCTGACACAAGGTTTTTGGCGGTTCTAGAATCGTTTCTGAAGCGTGTTCAACAAGTGGGAATGATGGATCTGAATCACATCA